GATCTCAAGCTTACTACAATTTCTGCCTCCCGGTTCAGGCGATTCTCCTGCCTCAACCTCCTGAGTAGCCGAGATTACAGGCACCCACCACCATGTCTGGCTAATTTTTTTGTATTTTTAGTAAAGACGGAGTTTCACCATGTTGGCCAGGCTGGTCTTGAACTCCCGACCTCAGGTGATCCACCCGCCTCAGCCTCCCAAAGTGCTGGGATTACAGGCATGAGCCACAACACCTGGCCCGGAATTGTTTTTCTTAAGTTCAAAATCTCACCCATGCCCTTACACAGCAGATAATAGTGAGAATGACTTGCATGGATCAAAGTTTAAAAATACAGATATGGGTACAAGGCTAATTTGAAAAGGGTGTCATTTGCACTCTGTTGACAAGCTTCACCTCTGGAAGCTTTGCACTCTAAGACATGTCCTGACTGTGGTGACGAGGGGCCTTTTTATATTACACTTAGGACATACGCACAAGGATAAACATTCAGCTACATCATGGCTGGTTAATATCACCCACACTAGGACTCAGAAATCCTGTTCCTAGGTATTTACCCAAAGAGAAATGAAAAAGTATTTCCACAGGAAGACGCGCACAAGAACACTGATGGCAGCTGCGTGAACAAACGTCTATCAACAGGAAAAGGGATAAACAAACTGTGCTACATCTTATACCTACCGCTCAGCAATTTTTGATTGTTGGTTTGTTTTTGAGACAGAGTTTTGCTTGTCACCTAGGCTGGGGTGAATAGTGCGATCTCAGCTCACTACAACCTCTACCTCCTGGTTCAAATGATTATCCCGCCTCAGCTGGGATTACAGGCGCCTGCCACCATGCTCAGCTAATTTTTGTATTTTCAGTAGAGATGGGGTTTCACCATGTTAGCCAGGCTGGTCTCAAACTCCTGGCCTGAAATGATCCACCCACCTCGGCCTCCCAAAGTGTTGGAATTACAGGCATGAGCCACCGCACCCGGCCCACTCAGCAATTAAAAATATATATATATACTGATACACATAACATGGGGAATCTCACATGTTAAGCTGTAGGAAAGAAGATGGACACCGAAAAAGTATATGCCATAATCCTATTTACATGAAGTTTCAGAACAGGTAAAACTAATCTATGGTGACAACTGAGAACAGCGATTGCCTTGGCAGGAAGGAGATGGGAAGAGTGGGATGGGGAGGAGAACTTTCTGTAGGGACAGAAATGCTCTATGCTCT